CTGTTCCACCAGGAGCAGGTCGAATTTCCCCCTTTTATCCTTGGCGTGGATTAACTCCTGAACTTCCGAATGGGCCAGACCAAAGTCCGTTGACTTTATGCCAATGTGTTGGCCGAGACGCATGTGTGTTAGCTTTGACATGTCAATCATGTCCAATGCCGATTTTGTTTTCATCATCGACGATACTGTGGAATTAGGCCATTACATTTGCACTAAATAAAATATGAACTTACTTACTGTCGGCCCAGGTATCGTACTTGGGCAAAAGAATTTCCCTGTAGTTTGGTCCCAAGTTTTCCTTGGCCAAAGATAGCGGGGTGATGAAGGTGACCTCGTGTCCACGTTTCACTAATTCCCTTATTATGGCATCCGTCATCATAAAGTGGCTCTTTACAGGCAGAAAGAAGGGTGCCAAAATTCGTGCTCCATCTCCAGTTCCCAGTCCAGTGCATAAGAGGAGCAACTTGACAAAGAGATTCTACGGTTTAAAAACAGATAATGCCATTCATTAACAATGTATTCGGATGCTCCAGTGTTTAGTTATTATTTAATACAAGTCAGGTTAACTCATTATCTTTGAACGCGAAACACACCATTGTATTATGAGTTAGGAGATGATTCTTATGTTCTTGCGAGTCACAGTTGCTCTGAGCTGGAAACAATCTTACCAGTGGTTTTATATGGTCTCTTATCTTTCTTCAGGTATAGCAATAAAGGATCGCATATCAGTAGACGCCATTCTATGTAGTGACGAAGAGCGCTGAGAGTCGGAGGAAGATAATATGATAGATCGATCTAAATTAGGTTTAGACCAATCACGAGTTACATATTGTCTATGAGACAATGTAATAGATTTCTTCCCAAAATAACCTTAACTAAGGTGCGATCGTCACTATCTTGTTAAGAGGCTTCTTGGTTTAACCTATTTAAGGCAATTTTTTATGTAGGTAGATGTCTTCTTTGGTGATAAGAGTTCATTCAAGTCCCATATCAGTTGGCGAAGACAATGTTTCGAGATAAGCAGCAGCCGAATGAACTTGATAAAGTCTACACATCTTAATCATAATATACGTTTTTTGACCGTCAAAAAACATGTATTTAAATGAATACAAATGCTGTACATTTTAGTGGGAAACAATAATCTGCGTTTTTGCAAGAAATTCTTCGATTTGATCAAAAGCATACCATAGTTTCAAAACTTCCCTCCCCGAATTTATATTGTACTTCCCAAAGTGATCAAGTTAAACGATGGGAAACAGCGCATAAATCAGGGCATTAGACTAAATTAAATATTTGCTTCCCGGTTGCCAGCCAGCCGAATAGTGTGGTAAATTATGAGCGATCTGTTTGGCGTGGTGTTGCTTCGCTGTAAACTTTCCGAATCACGAATATACATATTCGAATATGCAAATATAAATGGTTAAGTTGCCATAAAACTCAACGCGCCAATTTGTAGGCAATTAAATGCTGTGTTTGAACTGGAATTTCGGTGTATGGTAACCATGACGTTCGCTGGGAACTTTTGTGGGGATATTGATATTGATTCCGATTCCAATCGGACTGGGATTCAGATCAGCGGCGCATCGATCGATCATTCAATTTGGCAGCCATTCGTGGCGGACTTATATTATTGTTTACTTTGTCATATTTTGCCAATGTGTTTTTATTGTTCTGCGGGCCGCATTCGCATTCTACTCGTATTTAGATTGCCTCTATTTGTTGCTGCATGCCAGCGTGATACTTTGTTTATTGTCTCGGCCAGGCCAAATAAATGCAACGACTTTTCTGCGGTAAATTTGGCGTTGGCGGGTGCTTGATGCGATTGCGACCTGGCCATAAACCTTGGTCGGTCATGTGTGCTCGGAAGGGGCTCAAGTGGACGAAGTTATTGCAAATTCTCTAATCTTGGGATAATGCCCCATCGCTGGCAATCACTGCAATGATCTCAACGGCCAAATGCGGCCATAAATTCCGCGTCGGATGCCCAAGTGTTCCATCAAAATCAAAGCTTTTAAGCCGCTGCCTGAAGTGTTTCGCTTGCGTTCTAATTTGCCTTTGCAGCGAATGCGCAATTAGCCGCTATTACATTAATAATACGCGTACTTGTCCTCGGCCGACCCATTGGTAATTGAAAAATCGGCTATTTCCAATGTGGCAATCGAAACAGAAATGGAATTGAAAAGCGCACATTTGGCCGAAGTGAATCGCCGTACTTAAGAGCTTAAAAGTGCGCATCTTGCCTCACTGCATCCGAGTACCGAATTTGAATCTGTGCCATTCTGGATACATCTGTGTATCTGCACAACGAAAAGTAGTTCTCTAGTCAAGGTAAAGGTAATGGTCTATTAGCACGGGACAGCTCAAAATTAAAAAAAAAATCATTTGGACTGTTTGAGCAGTTACCAAGGATAAATGTAAGCTATCATACATTTAAATTGGCTAGTATTCAAAGAAAAAGTACTTGTAGGACTGAATAAATTTCCTATACTCAAATATGCATACACTGTACGCTCTAAACTTAAACTTGTGATAATCTTGTACAACATAGACAAGCCACTACGTTTTCCCTCAGTGTGGAGTCGACATCCCGCTTTGCGGCGACGCTAATATGCAATTGGAAACCACCGGGGCCGCCAGTCAGTTTACGTAGCTTCCCCGCCCACGTGGTGATGCAGTGGCTCCATGATCATGTAATCATGCGTGTGGCATTGTTTACAAATCACGCCTGGTCGCCCGTCGCTCCCGACCAGACAGGACACACTTGAGGATGTCGGCAGGAGGGTGAAATATGTGTGAACGCCGAGCGCGAGTCCTCCGTGCGCCGCATCCTCCGACGCCTCAAGTAGCTGGTTGGGCTAGGATGGCTCGGTCAAGGTGCCTAATTGGGATCTCCACTCGACATCCGTCTAGACAGCTGTTCTGCGGAGGTCCTGCGACAAGTGGCTTGTTTTGGTTGTCGCCCCGGGACATTTGGGACACATTAGTTGACCACTGTTTGGAAACAAATGGCTGGAAGGGAAGGGTAGCGCCAGGTCGGAGGACCGGAGGGTCGGACCACACAACAGACGCAAATAGTCCAAAACCGTACTCCAAATAAGCAGAGCACGATGCAACAACAAACAATTCTACACGGGATGGAGATCCCGATGAAAATTAACAAATGTTCTGCTGTTCCTAATGAAACTAGAATTTTTCGAAATTTTTTGTGACGTTAGTATCACAGGAACCGGGTTTAGTAAAATTGAAATAAATATTATATATTTTCCTCTCGTAAGCTGGTGAAACTATGGAGAGAGTTATAAAAAAGGGGCACAGACATGCCGGCTTATAAGTTCCCACCAGCCACACAGAAGCAATTGGAGCACGCTAATAAATATATTCAATAAATTAAATAATTTCGTCACGGAGTAATTAGTGGCTCTAATTTTCAGGTGTTCCAGATAGTTTGTACCACGCCTCGATCTCTTTTTTTGGCTGTGTATCCCACCACTCCACTAGTGCATTTAATGCTGGGGGAATGCAGTTAATGAACTAGTGCAACTCCTTAGCTCAGCTCGACTCGGCTGCATCCATACCCATTCCTCTCCAACCACCCATCCAGTCCACCATATGAGCTATCATCCATCCATCCATCCATCTATCAGGGCCATCAGGTGTGTGGTGGCGTTGGCATTATGGATGTGGATGTTCCACGGCCTCCGCCGTTAGAAGCGCAATTTGTTTATGCTACTTTGTGAGCAATAAAAGCACAGACGGCCATGTGGGTGGTCCCACCTTGGGGTTTGGGTCTTTGGATTTTGTGCAGTCGCTGGATATGATGTGTGCTACTGGTACTGGTGCAGGGATGGATGCTGATGGAAATGGGAATGGGGGTTGTGGTGGTGTGCTAATCATCAGCAGCTCTTCGGAGTTGTTCGAGTGGAACTAATCGGAGCATTGTGTGCCCCGGATGCAGCAGGATGCGGTGGGTGACTCTAGTCCCTGTGGGAATAAATTGAGTCATAATTGAATTGATTACCAGCGGGGCGGCCACTTGCAAGTGTCGGAATGGAGGGCCCTGGGACAGCTATGGTACAACTGAAGTGGCCGCCAAATTATTTGACATAATTGCGCCTTGATGAAGCGCTATCTGCCCCTGGGAAAGGGTGGAGCCACTACAGTCGGGTGCTCAAGTACTCATTGAACTCCGTTGGAGCTGTGAAGGCTGCTTTTTGGTAGTTTGTTGACCTCGGAGATGTGGCCCCAAACTTGCCACTTCTCGACATTGTAATCTTTAACGGCGATCCAATTTAAATGCTGTGTTGGTTGATAAAGTGATCAAGAAGCAATAAAAAGGGTGGCAAGCGGTAAGCCCATTAAATATCATTATGCTACATTTTTATCAATACATTGTGGGACTCTGAATTTTCAAACCGAATTTGTATTCTATGTACAAATTAGGTAGACTAATTTCTATTTCGATTTCTAGTACAAATGGATTGTTTAAGCAGGCGTTGAAATGTCGTTGCTGAAACGTCACGTTCGCAGCACTTAATATTCATTAAGTCCCTATTACTCAAGTCGAGAGGTTCGAATATTTCGTAATAAAAAGTAATTCAATCGCAAATAATCCCTTAAGCCCAAATAAGTAAGCAGTGAAAAATCAGTGCTGCAATTTCTGAAAAACCAGTTTTATACTAAGGTGAATATCGAAATCCGTCTTTTTATACCCTTTGCAATGCAGTAAGTCAGACATTTTCGACGCTAAGATGCATATATATTCTTGATCAGTATCAACCGATTCGATATGGCCACGTATATATGTAGTCGGCACGGACTTTCGCAAAAGCCGGAAAGTAATTATATGAAAAATGCTGATGTGAATTACATGTTACACCGGAAAAGTGCACCCATAATATTAATTTACGTTTGTTTCATATTGCAAAATATTGCGCGGATGAAAAGAAGCTCCTCCGACGCCGCATTCAGAAGCAGTGACACTTCGATTCCTTTGACTCAAAATGGAGCCTAAAACCTCGGGTCGTCGTAAGCGCCAGGACTGTCCTGAGGAGGAGGGTGACTTCCGCCAGAAGCGGACTGCCGAGCTGAAGTTGGCGACCGTGGAGAAGTTGATGGCAGGCCTCAGTTTCCAGGGCGGCACTTCCCTCAAGATGAAGCTGGCGAACCTGGTGCACCTGCTCAACAAAGGGGGGCTTAGAGTGGAGCTGAAAAAGCACATCATGAACGAGCTGATAACCTGTGTGGGCAATCATCCCGGGCAGTCCAGTGCGTATGCCACATTTTTGGGCCTGCTCAATGTCGGAGACTTTGAATTCGCCTCCCAGTGCCTGTCGTTCATGTTGCAGAAGGCTAACGAGTCGATGTACACGAACGATTGGGACAGGTGCCGAGGTGTGGTCCACTTCCTGGTGGACCTGTATAACTGCCAAGTGATACCGTCGTCCTCCATGCTGACAATGTTCGCAGTCCTCCTAAAGGAGTGCGAGGCTCTGATGGATCCGGACGATGTGGTGGTCGCTCCGCAGCTGCGTCGCGATTGGCTTGCCTACTGTGTGCTATCCGCCATCCCCCTTATTGGAAGGGATCTGGAGGGGGAGACGGCATTTGAGAAGCTGATGGTCTCGCTGCAGATTTACATCAAGAAGCGGTGCGTTCAGCACACCACCATGCTGAGTGTTTGGTGGGATTTCAAGCAGAGCGACTATCTGGAGCTGCTGTGGCAGCAGGTGGACGGATTGAGGCAGGATCGTTGGGCCGAACCGGAGCACGAGTTGATCCCCCGACCTTATATAAGCTTCGATAATACCTTGAGGCACGGCCAGATGCACTACATAAGGGATTTCGAGTTGGCCCCCCATCAGCAGGGATGTCGCTATCCCCCGCCGCGAGTTTGCTTCCACATCTTCTTTGACGACTCTGTCGGTGAGATCCTCCACTTGCCCTCGCCGGTGCGCATCGAAAGGCATCTGCTGGAGGCCCAAATTCAGGATGTGCTGCACTCCTATCATAAGGAAAGAAAAATCTGTGCCGACAGCCTCTTGGGCTACGCCGCCTCCAAGCCCGAGCTGCCGGTCTATCACTGCATCGTAGAGGTGATCTTGGGCGAGATGCTGCAGCTGCCCACGGCCCAGTGGATCAACATCAACTACGGAGCCCTTCTGGTGGAGCTGTGCAAGCGCCAACCGGACAAGGTGCCCCAGGTGGTTGTCATGGCCATGGACATCCTTTTCGATCGACTGAGCTCCATGAGCGTGGCCTGCTTCGACCGGCTGGTCAACTGGGTGTCGTATCACATTAGCAACTTTGGGTTTATCTGCCAATGGAGTGAGTGGGCTGAAAGCCTTCCAACGCCAATAGATCCGAGTGCCACCAATCTGCACCCAAAGGTGGTTTTCCTCAGGGAATTGATCAAGAAGTGCCTCAGGTGCGTATAATTAAACTAAAGATCTGTGAATAGATTTGGTTATAATTTAATTTTGTTTCTTTTGCTTCTTATACTCGTACATCTCCTAATTTTGTATGTTTGTTCCCAATTGTATGCTCATACAAAAATAGTTGTAAATTATCTGAAATACTTGCTTTGTGCTCCAAAAACTAGGTTGTCGTACCAGCAACGAATTGCAGAGATTGTGCCGGATATTCTGGCCGGATTTCTTCCGCCGCCTGCCGTCCCGCACTTCAAGTTTTTCGATGAAACACTTCCTGGTGGCATTTTGTCCAAGACTCTGCTGGAAGCGATGCGCAGCAAGGAATCATGCCCAGAAATGATCTCCAAAATTATTAATGCCACCACCGGAGTCGGTCCGCTGCTCAAGATCAACGTTTTCACCCAGAACTGCCTTCATCTGGGATCCAAATCATTTAGCCACACTTTCGCAATTCTCAGCAAATACCACTCTGTCTTCAAGGTGAGTTTTTGATTCCTTCGAGGATTCCGCAATACAAGTGTCATCCTAATTCCATCCGTATCTCCATCTTTTACGGATCCATTTCGATTTTAGGATTTGGCTGCACAAGATCCGGAGAAGCAGCTCGCGATCTTGAACGGAACCTTCGATGTGTGGATTGCCTGCGATCAGTATAAATTTGTGGTGTCCGAAAAGCTGGTCAAAATGGAGATAATTAATTACAATAACCTTGTGACCTGGATCTTCGACCCTATGATGCGCAAGGAGCTCACCAAGATGTACGTCTGGGAGCTGCTCCACTCCGCTGTGCGCCACCTGAGGCGTGCCGAACGTGCGGTTGCAGTCGTGGATGTCGATGATCCAAGTGCCTCCGAACCTTTGGTGAAAGGCATCCTGCTGAGAATTTTTCAGCGTTTTGTGAAGATCCTATCCGGAGCTCCGGAGGCAGAGAAGGGAACAGAGGAGCACTACTGGTTTCAGTGGGTTCTGGGCAGGCTGCAGGAGATGCTCTTTATCTTTGCGGATGACTTCAAGATAATCTCGAACAAGTTGCTTAAAATAACCGAGGTGACCGAAGTCAGGCCTGAAATCACGGAAATCATTGAAGCTTTTGTGGCTTACACCATGTAGCTTCTGTTGGAGGTTTCGTTTTCGAATATCATTTTACCAATATGAAAAACAGATTGCTGACTTACTCTTTGATCGGTCTTAAACTCGACGGACACTTTTTTCTATCGATATAAGTGAAATTGGCAATTGAACAAATTTAAAAAACTTAATGTACACTTAAAAAAAAAATAATTTTTTATAAAAAAATGTACACTTACATACATTAAAAAGTAAAGAATTTTAAAAGTTATATCATCCACACTATTAAATTTGCTATTTATATATTGCTCGAATTTCTGAGTTTACATTAAATAATCTTAAAAATAATATGATCATAAATTAATATAAAAGTAAAAAAAAGGCAGTTTGAAATAAAGCGCGTCAATCGATGGCATTTTTTTAGTATTTTTGCAGCTGTCCTAAGAATGTGTGTCGATAATTTTACAAACTACAATCGAATAAGCCGGTGGGGAAATTGGCTTAAGATATTGACAGTAAAATAAATGTAAAGTATGAAAAATATTCTACGTGGAAGTGTGACCTCTTTTCACGGCATTTTCGTATATTGTACAATACGGCGCGGATTTCAAAAGAAATTACTAGGGATATCTGGAGCTATTGCTATGTATAAATACATTTGATGTATAACAACATGTATAAACGCTCTTATGTTTAATTTTACATAATAAAGGGGAAGAAAGATTTTTAATTTATTTTCTTATTCTGGATTGGTTTTAAAAAAGTAAAATAATTGAATTGTCCTTCTTTAATACTGTAAATAGTTGTAATTTGGAACTCAATACATTAACGGTCCCTGAAACTTACATGTAGGAAAAATGAATGGGAAGTACAAATATAATTATATATTAATTGGGCATGTGCCAGCATTTTGATAGTGATTTTTATGATGATAATGATTTTATTTGGGTCTATCAACTTAAAGGCTAATTGTAAACACAAGTAGATTACTAGATTACTATAAATTATCTCCAATGTAGATTTAAATCATATGCGTGCCAAATATTAATTATTGGCATTTAGATTTCCTATAAAAGCCCCGGGTAAACGATTCAAAATCAAGCCAAAAAAAAGTGAAATATGAAGTGCGCAACATCAGTGTTATGTACGTTGCTGATTCTGTGCCAAATTATTGGTCGGTCACTTGAATTGAGCCACGATTTTGTGCCTATTAGCGAGGAAATACTTAGTAAGTGCGAGGACAAGCCGGAAATGGGCTATTTGGATGAATTTGCGGATTTTTCCCACTTCATTCGCAAAAGGAGTTCTTCTGGAATTAATATATCAGGAAACATCACAACGAAATGGGATGTAAGCCCATCGGATATCGTCGAGGTGAGGTTTTAGTGTATTTAACAAAGGCTGCATCTAAATAAACAAACTTCTTTCTAACTAATTTTTTAGGTTGATGTTACCATACTAAAGCTGGAAGGAAATAAGTGGAAACCGACAGCATTTAAAGGGAATGTTAATGATTTGTGCAAGTCCTTTTACGACAAGAACACTATTTATTATCCCTATACGACACAACACGTGGTTAACAGGAAGACAGTGAAGGAAAAATGCATTAACACTCCAGGAGTAAAGTTTTTCACCTCTTATTTTATTAAACCCCACTCAATTTATTAACATTGAAATTCTTCCGATTAGACTACATTGCTGTTGGAGCCCTTTGTCTTGAAAATATCATTCAGCTACGCAGTTCCTCTAAGTGTGGGACGCCACAAGGCCGTTCTCGTATTTTCTGCCATTGACAAAGCCGGCGTTAAGCGTCCTCGGGATACATGCCTGGAAATTGTCGGTGACATTGTAAATGCCTAATCGCAGGTACATAGTCTTGTTCCGTTGATAATTTGCTCTGAATTTGATTAATCGTAGTAATGATATCGATTTTGGTGAAGGGAATATTTTTGCGACAATATATTATTTGCAACAAATTATTAATTCATTATTATTAAACAAATATTCAAAGGAATACTAGTTTATTTATTGGGTTAGAAAAGTACTTAAATTACGTAAAAGTTGGACCTTTCTGAATCTAAGTGCGTGCCATTCGAACGTTATTTAACCTTAACTTATTGTTAATTTAAAACTTTCAGATTAAAAGTAATCAGTTAGTAATGGCATAACCGCTAGGTGGAGCACGAGTGCGATCTGTAAAGCAGTTCACTCGCTGCTAGCCGAAGCAGTCGATTTACTGCTTGCATATTTCCCTCGACTACCGGGTATCTGGTATCCATTAGTCCCTCTCGTTATACCCGTTACTCATAGAGGAAAAGAGTACCCTATATTCGTTGAAGAGCGTGTAACAGGTAGAAGGCAGCGTTCCCCCCTTTGAATCGGGATTGCTCGTCGAGTCGATCTAGCCATGTCCATCGCCCTGTCCGTATGAACGCCAAGATCTTAGGAACTAATATAGCTGCAAGGTTGTGATTAAGTATGCCGATTCTAAAACGTTACTACGTCTGCTATAAACGGTACATATCGTTAAAATTTGTGTTATTCTATAATTTTTTTATTTGTCCGGTCAATTTCTTTCGATTTCACCACCAAATTTCCCACGCCCACTCTAAAGATCACAAAGCGCCCGAAATTATAACGCCCACACCTTCAAAACATGTTTGTTTTTTTTTTTATAATTTGATTTTTAAATAACCTCTATAACCGCATAAATTGTTTTGACGTTAATATATTTCTTACCATTTTTATTGATTCTTTTGAACAGAATTTGCGAAAAATAATAATTTGATGATGGGCATAATACCTAAGCATTGATAGATCTCATGAATATACCTATATTGTATCTTGTACCTACAAGACTATGGTTTACGTAATTCTATCCTGAATCACAAATCACAGATCAGTACTTCTAGAAACACGCGAAATAACTGATGGTAATCTCATACAACTTTTAATTTGAAAGGATCTTGTAAATATTTATATTGTCCGATATATCAGATATGAAATAACCAAAGCTTCTCTATTAAATCGGCGGGCCTCAATCACAAAGCGCATTCCAAAAATAGTGGAACACGGAACGGCAAAAAGTTACTCTGCTGCAGATCCTTATATCCTTATCATTGCATATAATAAGAAATCAACGAGGAGCAAATAAAGGACAATTACATTAGAACTCCAGAAATAAGGATAAACTAATGAAAATTCGAGTTTCTAATGGGTTCGGCTATTTAGACCGTCCTAGTCGTGGAACCTTTTGTCCTGAAAATATTTATTAATTACGCAGGGACGTCACAAGGCTGTCATTTCATTTTCTGCATTCGACAAATCTGGTGCTAGGTGTCCAAAGGATATATGCATGGAAATTGTTGGAGATATAATGATTATCTGAGGGCGATTTTTCATTTGACTTTTATTAATGCTTACTCCATATTTATTATAACGAGATGTATTCAAATATTTTATTTAACATAATAAAGCTAAAAAGAATTTTTTAGTTGTTACACGTACTGAATATGAATCCGAAATATTTATGATTAGTACTTGTTATGATAGTACTTTTAAAATCGGAGACCAAAATATTTTCTTTTAACCATTAAAAAAAAAAAACAAAATAGGGATAGAATCGATTTCTTTGAATGTAAGCTTCACATCCAAAAAATACCGTTAGGAATACTAGAATTAAACTTAGCACGTGAAATAATATTTATCATACACATTTTCAAACGTTTTATTTTATAGGTGGTTGCGCAGTGCATTTCATACATAAGTGTAGTGGAAGTGTAATACTTGGATTAATTAAACCAACAGAACTTGGCCATTTCCTTTCAAACAAAGCGTTTTTTTTGGCAAAATATATGCATATAAAAGCGTTATTTTCAATATTTTACAACTTAGGCTACTCAGTGTTTTGTCTGTGAGAAATGGTCAAATACGGTGCCGGTGGTTGCTGATATAGCAACTTGCCATCTGAATAGCGCATCAGGGTCATGAGTTTCAGCATGCGCAGCTCCTCCTTATCCTTATCCTTGTCCTTCTCCCGACTCTTTTCCTGATCCTTATCCGATCCTATGCTCTGCATGTGTGGCTGGTGGTGCTGGTGGTGATGTGGATGGTGGTGGTGCGAGCGATTGGGATCTGCTGACTGGTCGGGTCTTTAAAATAGTCAAGTCATTAACGTTCTTTAAAAAGCTTTGGTTCGCTGACATTTTCTCGCACTGCACGTCCTTCTTCAGCTCCTCCATGTCACGCTTAAGTTTGGCTCTTCGATTTTGGAACCAAGTGATGACCTATTTGTAAGAAGAAGTTGTTAGATGCTCCTTACTGTTACACAAAGAGGAGAATACGTTTCAAAATCAAGATCGTTTTAAGTATTTTGGCACATCGATAAAAAGTGACACAAAATTACTAAAATTAAACTAAATCAAATTGGAAAGTTGTGGGATAAAAGTTTTGTGGGCGTAAAATTTTTAAATTACTCGAACCGCCTAACAGAACGGACGGATTAAACTGAAGAAGAACATACAAACTTTATAGTTTGTATACCCGACTACTGCCTTTATATACCTTTAAACGAATTCAGCACCTTTAATTTTTCATGCATAAGACCATGTAAAAAGGACAAGGCTCTAAAAGGACGAGAAATCAGAAAGTATTTAATCTTAATCAAATTGCCTGACCTTCGCATTACTTTCACTAAGAAAAATATGAAGTTATAACCATATAAAACCTTGAAAAAGGACACAAATATCTTTTCATCCACTTTGGAAGGCCCAATAAAGATCAAAATTGCATTTATATAGAATACTCAAATTGAATCTCCCAAATGTAATGGTGTGCTCTTGACTGTCAATCGTATTTTCCTCCTTGACCAGCACCTACAGACATTCCCATACTCACCTGTGCATTGGAGAGGCCCAAGCCGCCGGCAATTTCGTCGCGATCCGCTGGCGATAGGTATTTTTGGTACAGGAAGCGCTTCTCCAGCTCGAAGATCTGCTGGTTGGTGAATGCGGTGCGGGACTTGCGTTTCTTCTTGGGATTGGAGCGCGTGGCAAATATGTTCAACGTTGCGGGATCTGCAATGCAAAAGATAAACATTAAAATCTATATCGGCGGCGGAATCGATTCGGAAAGGTGTGGTGGCATCGTAAATTATTCAGCGATCAGTCACTTTTATATGCTTCACACGGATGATCGTAAATCGGGGGGGTTTATGGGGCTTTTGGCTCCAGACTTTGCAGCCGGGTCTGACCTTTCTCCGGAGATCATTGCGAGGATGCTTTAATGGTCGCTTTTACGGCCGATCTCTACGCACTCACTGGCACTTTCGATTCAATCACCGAAATGCTCGTGGTTAAAGCCATTTCAAACACACAATTCGATGGAATTCATAATAGACAATCGACATCCACAAATCGGTGGTCATAAAGACAGGCAGGCAGGGGATTCTCTAGCTCTCGTATTTATTGGCCTCGCCGCGTTGAATGATTTCCCCTGTGTTGTTTTCTTAAGCTATTCGATGGGGATTTGATTTGATGTGGATTTTGATTTTGATTGCCGGTATTTGTTTTTGGCATGTTTAAAGGTAATACGGCTGCTGATTGATGTTTTTACCGACCGTTTTTTCGAAAGTGTTTCTCGGCGGAAACGGCTTTCAACCCAGTTGAACCATGGCTGAAATGGATGCCAGCCAGCCCAACCCCATTAGGAATTGTTTATTTATCGCGAGCAATTCAATTTCTGCGCCTTTCGGTTGAGTGTTTATTAATGCCCGATATTTATGTGCCCGCGGAATGATCGCCGCGAATAAGTGTGAGTGCTCAAAAGTGAGCAAAAGTATCTACGGAAATGGCTGTGGCGTCGTTCGTTTACGGGGTTGAATCTTGGGGATCTAGAAGGCCCCCGGAAGTCCGACGACGGCAGAAGATGGCAGCTGCGCACTGGAAACCCTGTCGGGCAATACTGTTGTTGCTAAACATGTCCGACGAATAACAATTAAGAGACCCGAGTTTGGTCCTTGAAATGTGCAAGGATGACGGGGTTGATTAATTCCCTGTTCACCGTTCCCTGTTCGCAGTGGCCTTGCGGTTAAAGTCGAAATTCGGGTCCAAAGCCATTTTGACACTATCCTGATGTGTTTATTGTGAGGCTAGATAATCTACTGTTTGGGGAACGCCCTTTGCCACCAATAATCGAGGGTTGAAAGGATCCTTGGCGGTAGGAACACATGAGCACACACATAAACGTGTTTTCCACCAACATGAGCAGCAACATGAAGAGTTAATTAAAGGTAAGTGGTAGGAATGCCCTCAGGACACTTAAAGTGTGCGTGCGTAGTGTCTTGCGGTGGGTTTTTGCTAATGTTAAATAACCTTAATTCTCAAAACAAGATAAACGAGATTAGTTCGCCTAACATTGGATATACAAAACCGACTATTTAAGGGTCGACTATGGATAGGATTATCTATTTTCATAAACTTAACCGTTACAGCTCAATTTTGTTCAGTATCCAGTTAAATGTGGCCCCCACTTGCATCAATACCACGTCCTAGCCACGCCTCTAATTAAAAGCCGTGGCAAGCCTGCTGTTGGTAAAAAACTGGTCGGGGCTCGCGATGGTGGGTGTGTTTTCGGCCATTTGTTGAGCTTTATTAATTAAGAAAACTGCACCTCGGGGCTGGACCAAGACGGAGTCTGGTTAATGGCTTAACCCACATGGAGAGCGTGTGTCAGTTGCGGCACTTACAAACGTCCAGACGGAGCTAAAGTGCACGGGTATTTGCCAAAAGAATTACGACCTGGCCGGTCACCTGGTCAACACCTACACCTCTAGTCGTGGCCAACAAACAAACAATGTCATCAGCATAACTAATCATTGTTGCAGGCGGCGGAGAGTCACCGGTGACACCTAGCCAACGAACCAACGAACCACCGGGCAACATCCAGCACAATGGGTCCAAGGAGCTGCTCCTGTTGTCTGGAAATATGCATAACTTATGCCTTCTGGCAGCGTTGCTAATTGAGACACAAACAAAATGACGCATTGTCCTTGTGCAAGTGGGTTGGTCTGCTTCTAATACGGGGAGGTGTACACTCCACAAAAGTCAAGTTGGGTTGCAAATCTTTTAGGATTAATATGTTTCTTAGCCGGGAACGCACTCAGTGTAACACTTTAAAAGAAAAATCAGACAAGCCTGGATTTTCTTCCTTAAAAAGATTATCATTTCTATAAATTTACAAAATATGGTAACTGATATTGCTAGTGCACCGATTTTCGCCGAGTGCATGGGCGCAACGCGACTTGAGATGGCGTGCCTTATCACCGGCCAATCTGGAGCCCATTCCTGGTGCGCATGGCTAATGGTGTGGCTGGTAATTAGGCAAATTAGCTGGACTCTGCTACTGGGAGGCACATAAATTAACAGCAATTAATTAAACGCTCGCTGGTTAATGCCGGATCACGACCGGCTCTTCCGCTCCTTCGCATCCAATCTCCATCGAGATTGTTTTGGAAAATGAGCTCAGGCTCAGGCTGAAACCAGAGTGCGGCTCAAAGTGCCGGAGCAATTATGTTGATTAAGTCCGAACGATTCAATTAAAGCCAGCTCCAAATCAATCAGTCGAGATCAGCCAGCGGCCGAAAAAGTGGCAATGGTAGTGGTAATGGTATTGGTATTGGTAATCTCCGGGGATGCACGCATAAAGCGAACATCATAATAAAAGGCAGTGGAGATCACAACGTCGAGATACTCGGGTGCTACCAAGATGCGTATCGCATCGCTGGGATAAGGCTAATGCTAATGCTAATGCCCAGGGAACGGGAACACTCGAATTGTTTGCCACAAGGTGCCTGCTGTTCACACGCTCTTCAAATGCTTCGGTTCGCAGCGGACCCTTTGAAAGGCGAGTAGGTAGGCAGGCAGGTTTGGTAGCGAGGCTCGGATTTGGCTGGAGGAAAGCAGGCCAAAAGCATGACATGTGGAATGTGGAATCGGGCTGCCAGCGGAAGACTCAATTAGGAGCTTGGGCTTTTCGGGGGATTTACGACCGCAAGGAATTTCACATTCCCAGGGCTCTGGGATGCCTAAATACCTGCCAATAGCTTTATAAAATCGCCGCCACCACAGAGTTATGACAAACTCCAAACTCGAGACTCCAACTCGAGCCGGCAAAGGACAAAGGCGACCTTCGGATGCAAAAGAGTTTGGCTAAAAGCGCTAATTATGGCCAGAAGAGAAGGAGAAGCAGCAGCAGCAGCAGCGGCAGACCACAAATTGCGTTGTCCAGAAGCTCGAAAGCGTAATCAAAAACTAATTTTAATCCTGTTTGGGGTTTGGGGCTCAGAGGCACAAAATGAAAACGAAGTTGCAGAGAGCCGCTCTGTGATCCGATCGGATCAGAGATCTTTTTAGCGGTAGGTCCCGGTAATTTATTCTAAATGGTTTTTTGAAATCCCCGAAACAACACGATAAGTTTACTTATGACGTTGCCGGCGTCTCTCCTTCTCGTTCGCATTTCCATTTCCATTCCCGCTCCCGAATATGAATATAGGAGTACCCACTTTGGGTTCTGAAATCTCGGGATCTGGCACATGGTATCTGGAATTTGAGATTCCAGCGATGATTCAGACCGGATCAAAGTCGCTGGCGGGCCCTGCATATTTTTCTCACTTTGGCGTGTCTGCGTGTTGTTAGCAATGAAATTGATGAGTTCGAGCAGGTTATAAAACCCGATACCTTTTGGCTACCTTTGTGGCTGGCTCTTTTATTATTATTATTGCTGTTGCTGTTGCTGTTGCTGGACCTACGAAAGGCCGAAACACAATAACACAAATTAATATAAGAAGATGAGACAAATTTAGCCGCCGACAAAGTGAGCTGGCCACGGAGATTCCCATTCCCATTCCCATTATCATTACGGATCGAAGTGGAGCGCGGGGTGCGGCTCCATAACGAGAAAGTTATAAATTTTGGTATTTTCTTTTCCATATATTCGAGCTGGCGACTTTTCGACTGGTGGGGTCTTTCCTTCGAACTGGAAGACTGTCATCGTTGGCCGCTTGTTTACACGCTCGTAATGCGCCCCATAACGTTTTGTATTTTGTTGTCATTTGTACCGCCCCGGAGATCTGGAAACTGGCCCTAGTTTATAACCAGTGCACTCTTTTAAGCCAAGATTGAACGTTGTTGAGGAGGAGCTGGTGCCTAATAGAGCAGCCAGTCCAGATACAGATCTTATATTCTGATATCTCTCAATGTCACTGAAGAGAAAGTATCTTTTGAACTGTATTAAATAATTATAGCTTGCGGTTAATTGCGGTTAAAACAAATTTAATCTTCAAAACCATTTTGTAATAAAAAGATGGGAGGTTCGAGGTTCGACATCCTTAAAATCTATAAACGAAGGGATGGCTAATAAAACGGACATAAGTCCAAGATCACTTAGTATACCGGGATAGAACACTTTTATGTTTATGGGCTCTCTGCATGACACCTTTGGGCTATTGAAATTACTTATTAGCTGTCGGCATAAAGGACTTTCTCTGGGTATTTTCTGCACTTCTCTTTAATTGAAATTTTCGTACGTTGAGGCAGAGCGTAAAGTATTCATGTTCATGTTGGCCCGCAGCTATTTTGATTGCGATACTACATCTTGTAAACAATAACATGGCCAATAATTTCGGAGTGCCCCGGCAATTTGGCGAGTGGAAGAACATGTCAACGGTACCTGGGGGCAGTAATCAGATGTTTTCGATAGTTAATTTCTTCATACATGCATCGAACGATCGGATAGTGGGGCACTTTCTTTCCGACGTCCCGGGAACTCGTTCTCCAATATAAACATAAAAGGGTAAACCCACAAATCGTTTGCAGGCGATGTGCACGCACTGTGCACTGCCCCAAAATTGAGCTGGTGCAACAAGTATGTGATTAAAATCGATCGAGCTTATGGAAAAGGAAGCTTAAAGACTAGACTCTTAATTACCAAAGATCACTTGAAGATGTTGCCATTAATTGACTATGGACTTGCGGCTTTCACTTGTGATTGCCAGTGAGCTCTTTGGACCGCCTCCAAC